TACATCTCTAGGAATGCACCCATTTCTTCCAGGTTATCTAATTTGCTGGCATAGAGTTGCTCATATTATGTTCTTATAATTGTTTGTATTTCTTTGGTTTTGGTTTTGATCTTTCATTCATGATTTTGTTGATCTGGGTCATTTCTCTTTTCTTTTTGATAAGTCTGGCCAGGGGTTTATCAATCTTGTTAATTCTTTCAAAGAACCAGCTCCTAGTTTCGTTGATCTGTTCTACTGTTCTTTTGGTTTCTAGTTCATTGATTTCTGCTCTGATCTTTATTATTTCTCTTCTCCTGCTGGGTTTAGGCTTTATTTGCTGTTCTTTCTCTAGTTCATTTAGGTGTAGGGTTAGGTTGTGTATTTGAGACCTTTCTTGTTTCTTGAGAAAGGCTTGTATTGCTATAGACTTTCCTCTTAGGACTGCCTTTGCTGTATCCCAAAGATTTTGAACAGTTGTGTTTTCATTTTCATTGGTTTCCAGGAATTTTTTTAATTCCTCTTTAATTTCCTGGTTGACCCATTCATTCTTCAGTAGAATGCTCTTTAGCCTCCATGTATTTGAGTTCTTTCCAACTTTCCTCTTGTGATTGAGTTCTAGTTTCATAGCATTGTGGTCTGAAAATATGCAGGGAATGATCCCAATCTTTTGGTATCGGTTGAGACCTGATTTGTGACCTAGGATGTGATCATTTCTGGAGAATGTTCCATGGGCACTAGAGAAGAATGTGTATTCCGTTGCTTTGGGATGGAATGTTCTGAATATGTCTGTGAAGTCCATTTGGTCCAGTGTGTCATTTAAAGTCTTTATTTCCTTGTTGGTCTTTTGCTTAGATGATCTGTCCATTTCAGTCAGGGGGGTGTTAAAGTCCCCCACTATTACTGTATTGTCATCAATGTGGTTCCTTGCTTTTGTTATTAATTTCCTTATATAATTGGCTGCTCCCACGTTAGGGGCATAGATATTTACAATTGTTACATCTTCTTGTTGGAGAGACCCTTTAAGTAAGATATAGTGTCCTTCTTCATCTCTTATTACAGTCTTAGTTTTGAAATCTAATTTGTCTGATATAAGGATTGCCACCCCAGCTTTCTTTTGGTGTCCATTAGCATGGTAAATGGTTTTCCACTCCCTCACTTTCAATCTGGGCGTGTCTTTGGGTCTAAAATGAGTCTCTTGCAGACAGCATATTGATGGGTCTTGTTTTTTAATCCAATCTGATAGCCTGTGTCTTTTGATTGGGGCCTTGAGCCCATTTACATTCAGGGTAACTATTGAAAGATAGGAATTTAGTGCCATTGTATTGCCTGTAAGGTGACTGTTACTGTATATTGTCTGTGTTCCTTTCTGATCTATGCTGCTTTTAGGCTCTCTCTTTGCTTAGAGGACCCCTTTCAATATTTCTTTTAGGGCTGGTTTTGTGTTTGCAAATTCCTTTAGTTTTTGTTTGTCCTGGAAGCTTTTTATCTCTCCTTCTATTTTCAATGACAGCCTAGCTGGATATAGTATTCTTGGCTGCATATTTTTCTCGTTTAGTCCTCTGAAGATATCATGCCAGTCCTTTCTGGCCTGCCAGGTCTCTGTGGATAGGTCTCTTGCCGATCTAATGTTTCTACCATTGTAGGTTACATATCTCTTCTCCCGAGCTGCTTTCAGGATTTTCTCTTTGTCTCCGAGACTCGTAAGTTTTATTATTAGATGTCGGGGTGTTGACCTATTTTTATTGATTTTGAGAGGGGTTCTCTGTGCCTCCTGGATTTTGATGGCTGTTTCCTTCCCCACATTAGGGAAGTTCTCTGCTATAATTTGCTCCAATATACCTTCTGCCCCTCTCTCTCTTTCTTCTTCTTCTGGGATCCCAATTATTCTAATGTTGTTTCGTCTTATCGTATCACTTATCTCTCGAATTCTGCCCTCGTGATCCTGTAGTTGTTTCTCTCTCTTTTTCTCAGCCTCTTTATTTTCCATCATTTGGTCTTCTATATCGCTAATTCTCTCTTCTGCCTCATTTATCCTAGCAGTTAGTGCCCCCATTTTTTATTGCACCTCATCAATAGCCTTTTTGATTTTGACTTGGTGAGATTTTAGTTCTTTTATTTCTCCAGAAAGGGTTTCTCTAATAACTTCCATGCTTTTTTCAAGCCCAGCTAGTATCTTTAAAGTCACGATTCTGAACTCTAGGTCCGACATCGTACTAATGTCCGTATTGAGTAGGTCCCTGGCAGACGGTACTACCTCTTGTTCTTTTTGCTGAGGTGATTTTTTTCGTCTTGTCATTTTGTCCAGAGGAGAACAGATGAATGAGAGAACAGAATGCTAACACGTTAACAATGTCCCCAGCAAATATACTCTATACAAATCAGAAAAGACCTAAAACCAGGGGAAAAGAAAGGGAAAGAAAGAAGAAAGAGAAAAAAAAAGAAAAAGATAAAAATAAACAAAAACAACAACAACAAAAAAAACAGAATATGATCAAATATGATCAGGCTAGTGCATAGATCAGTGCCACGCACTAGATTTTGGCCATATTTTGGTCTGTTAGAAGAAAGTGCCTCCTAAAATTTTAAAGGAAGAAAGACTTATATATGTACAAAATAAGGGTTGATACAATGAAGGGATGGAAGATGACTGTAAAGATGAAAATTATAAAAGGTTTTATAAACAGAATTGATAAAGTAAGAAGTTGTTTGAAAGAAGAAAGCAGAAGATTTAAAGAAAAAAAAAAAGGGAGACTGTGATCAGGCAGGAGACTAGAACAAAGCCATACACTAGTTACTTAGGGTATATTTTGATCTGTTAGAAGAAACTGTATCTCAAAATTTTAAAGAGAGAAGAACTTATATATATATATATATATATATATGCCAAAAATAAGGGTAACTACTATGAAGGGATAAAATATGACTCTAAAAATGAAAAATAAAAATGTTTTTTTAAAAAAGGGATTGATAAGATATTGGTTGAAAAAGGGGAAAAGAAAGATTAAAAAAACACACACAAAAAACAGTTAAAAAAATTAACTTTGAAAAACTAATGAATCATGGTAAAAAAGCCATATATTCTATGTGCAGTATTCCCCTAGTGCTGGAGTTCTCCCGTTCTCCTTGATCGGTAAACTTGGTCTTGGCTTGCTGGCTGTTCGTGCTGATCTTCTGGGGGAGGGGCCTGTTGCCGTGGTTCCCAAATGTCTTTGCCGGAGGCGGAATTGCCCCGCCCTTGTCGGTCCGGGCTAAGCAAGCTGCTCGGGTTTGCTCTCAGGAGCTTTTGTTCCCTGCAAGCTCTCGGTGCAGCTTTGGAGGACCAGGGCAGAAATGGTGGCCTCCCAATCTCCACCTGGAGGAGCTGAGAACTCGGGGCCCCGCTCCTCAGTGCGCCTCCAGAGAAAAGCAGTCACTCCCGTGTCCCCGGTCTCTGGCCGCACTCCGTGCTCACCTGGCCTGTGATCGAGCGTTGCTATCTCTGGCACCCGACCCCGTGTGGAGTCTCCAAACCCAGCAGATCCCTGCGGTGCGCTCCCGCACCGCTCCTCCCGGGGGAGGGAGGGGAGTCTCCCCGAATCTGCCGCTTGTTGGGTCCCTGCTGGAGGAGCAGTGGCCCAACTGGGCCGCGGATCACAGTTTATGGCAACCCCGAGCTGAGAGCCCGCGCCTCGGCTCCGTCTCTGCAGCCCACTTCCCCGCTCCGATACCTGGGAGCTCTGCCGCACTCAGGCACCCCCGGTCTTTCTGTGACCCCGAGGGTCCTGAGACACCACTGTCCCGGGAGGATTCCACCCCCCGCTTAGCCACTGGAGCGACGTCCCTCCGCGGAGCCGGCTTCTAAAAGGTCCGATTTTGCGCTCCGCGGCTCTAGCACTTGCCAGAAGCGGCCGACGGAGGCCCCTCCCCCACCGTCTATCCTCCCGAATATCGCCTCGGATTCACTTCTCCACACGCCCTACCTTCCAGTAAGTGGTCGCTTCTCTGTTCAGAGAGTTGTTGCTACTCTCCTCTTCGATCTCCTGTTGAGTTCGTAGGTGTTCAGAATGGTTTGATCCCTATTCAGCTGAATTCCTGAGACCAGACGACATCCAGGTCCCCTACTCCTCCGCCATCTTGCTCCGCCCCCCATATGGGTTATTTTAAATAAAAGACTTAAGAGACAACCTGTGCAAGGACACTCAGCCCCTCCCCTCTGCACCCCAAAATTTCCCATGTGAAAGATGCCCTCCCAGTGCCCGGAAGTAAAGAAACATCCTCATCACTGAGCTTGGAAATTTAGAGAGAGTGGTAAGAAAGACAAGAAAGCTGTGTAAACACCCCTTGTTACTTTTTACTAATTTACTACCCCAGCCCACATTCTTTCTAGCATTCCTTACTAGGTGTGTGCTTTAGCTGAGTCAGAGTGCCTGTCTGATAGAATTCCTTACTGAATTCTTCCCCCAAAGTGAAGTTCTCTTTGTCCTGTCAGGTCCTCCCAGATTCATTGTTCTCTGTCTAAAAAGTACAAAAACTGCCTGCCATGGTCATTTCTTTAGGTCTCAATTTCATGACTGAGCCTCTGTGCACACTTCATAAAACTTTGGGATTTTTCTCCTGTTAATCTGTCTCGTGTCAATTTAATTCTTAGTCCAGTTGGAAGAACATGAAGGGTTGAAGAAGAATTTTTCCTTCCCTTCAGAAGCTAAATTAGTATTAAGTTCAAAAAAGTGACGCATTTAAAGAAAATCTGTTGAGTAAATAATATTATTTACAAAGGAAGTTGGGAAACATTGAGATGACATGTGGATTGCTAAAATTAGGGAAATATTGTCCTATGACCAAAAGAAGGGGATGAAAATTATTTCTGCTTAAGACACAAGGGTTCCCCACTCCGGGGAGGGAAACAGGTCTCCTTTAGAGGGGTCAGTCCCCCACTCCTCAGTGTGGTCACCCTGGCTCCAGCCCCACGAGACCCTGGGACAGAGGGACAGCCCCCCAGAGGACCGGACCCCTGGCAGGATCGGCGGTAAGGCCCCTTGTACCTTCACGACGTCTTCATCCGCAGACCTGCACTCCACAGCCTCCAACACGTCCACCACGGAGCCATCCTCCTGAATGCCCACGACCTTGACGGGAACCGCAACAGGCTTCCCCGTGAGGACGGCCGTGTTCAGCACCTCCGTATCCTGCACAGGAGAACAGAGGGCGCAGGTCACACACAAGGAAGCCCGCCAGTAGGCAGGGGTCACCGGACTGACTAGTTATACTTTAGCTCACGTCCTGCCACTAAAACTCCATCGGCGTGGACCAACTCCCCAGGCCTCTCAACACAGAAATTCTGGAGTCAGAAGCATTCCATCCCAGACTGAGCTCAGGAAACCTGACCGCTAGACCTCCTTCTCCACCCCCAGGGGCAGGGGCAGGGCAGGGTCACATCCCCCCAGGGCCCCTCCGGTCACCCCCCACACCCCAGCTTGCAGAGGGGCTCACACACTGCACAGGGTGCCTTCCAACATTCACCAGATCTCCACTCGAGGTCACTTGGTAAGTGACTGCCTATGCTCAGAGCTTATTAACGCAACGAACATGGCCCTCAGTGTCATTTCAAATGAAGAAGACAAATAAGAGGGTGCCTGGGTGGCTCTGTCAGTTAAGTGGCCAACTCTGGATTTCAGCTCAGGTCATGATCTCAAGGTCGTGGGATCGGGCCCTGCGTGGGCTCTGCACTCAGCATGGAGTCTGCTTGCCCCCCTCGCCCCGCTCACTCACTCTCTCTAATAAATAAAATCTTGAAAATAAAAAAAGAAGAAGACAAATAACAGCACAAATAACAGAAGAGCACTAGTCCCAGAATATCAACCTCTGTACTCCTGAGCCCACCGCCAGTACCCTTCCTCTTCCCCGAGCCTCCAAGGGCCCCCAGGTCCCCTCCAAGCCCAGGGATCTGTGAGCTCTGGCTTCATGTTCTTTTCTCACTTCCTCTGCCGATTCCCGGGGTCCTGTAGGGTCCACCTTCATGACTTATGTCCTGCCTGTCACATTCTTGCCATCTCCATGACCACCCCCCCAGACTGTCCTCACTGGGACAGCCCCCACGGCCCCAACCCATCTCCTGTGTCCACTCTCCCCACGACAGCAGAAGAGAATCTTTTACATCTCAACAGAATGCAGATCATCTCTCCCCTAGACTGAAACTCTTTGAAAGGGTCTTCCTCTTTGTTCCTAAGAGAGAGTGCACACTCCCCGCCAGCGGTGATCTGACTCTGGCCCACGCTCTGGCCCCTTGCCCTTCCCACGGCCCCTCCCCATGTGGAGCCTCACGGACTTCTCCTACTTCTCTCCCACTGCAGTGCGCGTTCAGCGTGCCTCCTGCTCTTCCCCATGCAGAGCCCTCCACCGCACCCGCCTCTGCTCCTGCCACCCTCCCATCCCAGCCTCCAGGCCCACTTCTTCAGAGGAATGGGACTTTCCCGCCCTCCACAGTGTGAATGAGCACCACCAAGTTTGCCCTGCATGGGAATAGCCACCAATGCTCCCCGTATGTTTATCTTGTGTTTATGTTTCCATCTCTAACTATTCATCAAACTGTAAACTCCCCAAGGGTCTCAGCCACCTCTGTTCTGACCTGCCTTGCATCCACAGAACAAGGGACAGTATCTGGTGTGTGAGAAGCAGTGCAGAAGAGAGGTCACAGGCACGGATTCTGGACCTGGACGGCCTGGGTTTGAAACTGGCTCAGCCTCTGTTTCAGTGGATCTGCAGTCATGGAAAACGAGACTCAAGTGAAATAACCCAACATGGGTTTAATGACGCCTCTCACATAACCAGAGTCTGGAGGATCATGGCTGCTGCCTCTGGTCCAGTGACTCTACGAGGCCAGGGCTACTCCTCTGCAGTTCTCTTGGCCACTCCCTCAGGGAAACAAGATGGCATCCATCACACCAGCCATATGTCCACTGTCTCACCAGGGAGAAGGTGGGATGGGGAGGGAGTGCACCTGCTGCACCTGCCCCTTTCATCAGGAAGTCCAAAGCTTGTCCTATATGGCCAGCCCACCTGCAGAAGAGGCTGGGAAAGTGGGCGTCTATAGTGGAGCCGGAGGGGGTGGCAGTGTGTAAATGGCTTTTTATAGTCCATTACCAGGTCCGCCACAAGTTACTCACCTCTCCCTGTGCCTGAGTTCCCTGATCTGGAATATGGGGATAATAAAAATATGTACCGTGTGATGACCTCATGAAGGTTTAATGAAACTATCTGTGTACAAAGCTTAGAACAGAAGTGGCATAAAATGAGCAACAAGAGCTCAATAAATATAGGTACTGCCGCAGATGCTATGAAAGATTGGCTCCATGAATGAATTAAAGAACCGCCGGGTAGGTTCACAAAGGGACTCTGCTGAAGATGCTCATACTTGTCTGAAGAGAAAGAGCCAACCAGAGAAGCCGGTGGGGAACTGGGCAATGTGGCTCGGCACTGAGATCCTCCAAACACTCAGCAGTCGGCTCCACCAGAATCAACCCAATGGATGATTATTTCAAGTGCTCCTTTCACTCTTGGAGCCCCTAGCTTCAGCTCAAGCACTAAGTGGGTCCCACATTCAATTTTCTAAATCAGCCCCTCATTGTCCACCTTAAGCCTGAAGATGGGTAAGAGATGGAGTCAGTGAGTGATAATGATGATGATGATAGACAGTGTTCTAAGTACTTTACGTGTAATTAATTGCTCATTCAGTTTACTCAACAACCCTCCCAATATAAATCCTAGTATTATAAGAATAGATTTATTATTCATTGATAGTAAACCTGAAAAATAATAGCTACTTGTCAATAAAAAACATCAACTTTGTAATGAACAGTTGTAAACAATGCCAACCCAGTCTAAGAAAGATGAAAAAATAAGTTGGAATTTTTTATATATGTCCTCTCCCCCGTATGGACTCTCAAGGAGTTAAGTCCAAAAGCATATAACTCTAGTCCATGTTCCTGAGTATCCCATTCCCACCAGGGACGTGAACTATATGTACCTTTATATTTAAGAGGTACAGCAAGGACAGGAAGCAGGAAGCGCTGCAGAAGTTGAAATGAGGACTCACCAAAGGTGGGATAGTGGTGTGGGTGTGGGTGTGATTACAATGTATACAAAGAACAGAGACTATATCATGATTCCAGAGCAAATGGCTAAATTCTACTCATAATGCAATGAAAAAAATCTATATGGGTGTTTGCTGTATGTAGTGGGCAGGCATTAATTCTGCCTGATGAGCATTCATGGATGCTGAACGTCCATCCAACCTTCTGTTTGTAATGACATTTTATTTTCCTTTGGGTATCATCCTACTCTGCTACCAATGAATGTGGCTTAGATGGTGCTGATCTCAGACCACAAAGTCGGGCTTCACAGATGAGCCCACAAACCAAATATGGCCCATTGAGGTATGCCAGTGTCATGTCCTCAAAGACTGATTCAAGTGAAATGCAAACAAAGGAAATCAAAGACAAGAGCAGGATAAGACAGATTCTTGGGAAAGATTTCTGAGTTTCTGAATCCAGCTATATCTGTGTCTGCTATCTTTAGAAATTTCGATATATAAAATAAACTGTTTTACTTAAGCCAATTTTAATTGTAAGCCAACTTAAACTGAAAGTCTTGACAAATACACGTGAGAATAGGCAACATGCTAGGCTCTAAAATGAACACCAATCTCTACCCTGTAGAAGCTCACAGCCTTCAAGGAAGGCATCACAATAATTTTGCCTAACTGAGTTTCAAGGGAGGTGACTTTATTTCTCATAACAACCAATCACAACTGAACCAAGCTTATGATTTTATCTCAAATGCCTCTGCAGCTATATTTCTTCCTTTAGTTTTTGCCTATGTGACTGAGATTTTTGCAACCATGTTTTCCAGTGTCCATTAATGGCCTCCCCCAAATCCCAAAGGCAATCCTACCTGCCTCTGACACAATGAGAAAGCAATTTATCTTGTTATATATTACATTTAAATCATTCCCTGGTGCCACAGACAGCTAAAAATTCACCATCTATCAAAATACAGGTCTTTTATTCTGCTCCTATTTGTGAAAGCTCTAGCTTTTATGTCTTGAAAGCATATTTACATTCCTTTATGAAGATGAGTTTCCATTAATGTTGCACACTACAGCAGCATCAGTGAAAATGGCAGAGTAAGGACATCCGAAAATTCTCTCCATAAAAGCAATGAGAAAACTGAAAAAAAAAAACCTCAAAATCAACTTTTTTAGAACTCTGGAAATAGGGGCACCTGGGTGGCTCAGTCATTAAGCGTCTGCCTTCAGCTCAGGTCATAATCCCAGGGTCCTGGGATCGAGCCCCACATCGGGATCCCTGCTCAGCGGGAAGCCTGCTTCTCCCTCTCCCACTCCCGCTGCTTGTGTTCCCTCTCTCGCTGTGTCTCTCTCTGTCAAATAAATAAATAAAATCTTTAAAAAAAAAGAATTCTGGAAATAAAAGAAAGTCTTATGCAACCAGGAGAGCATTTATTCAAGAAAAATGGCTGAATCTTGGTTTTAAAAAAAAGAGAACTTTGTGGCATTTTAACTTGATTTATTCCCATCCCCTACTTCTCAGCCCCACAGTAGCTTTAAAAAATTACAGCCCATGTTCACAGTCAAAACCACTGGATTTGCAGTACAAAAGCCACTGGAGAGAGCAGATCAGGGCTGGAGACCTTTCAGACCCTAATTCCCAAAGAACTGCCATTATTTGACTTGTCTGATAGCCCCCTGGAAGATTCCCACTTGCAAGGCTGTCAGTATTTGACTGGACTCTGAGTTCACCCAGTGTGAAAAACTTTTACCCTAGAGGTATTTGTTAAAAGCAATTGTAGGCAACTGTTTAACTTCATAGCTGCCTGTGGGTGGTGAATAAAGTTTGGTGCAAAAAAAAAAGACCAACCCAAAAGCTTAAAAGGAAAAGATGATGAATGAGATGTGCAGAGGTGCTTTGAAAAGCTAATACCTGGGGAATCTATAAGACCATGCTTAATTTAGAGCTGTGTGCATGCTCAGGACTGTGTTCATACTCAAAAAAGACCTGAGAAGGCTCTAAGTTCTCACCTCTTGTTGACTTTGAGGTTCTATGAAAGCAGGAAGTGAAAGCTAATGTAGAGCTGTCAAATGCCTGGCTAGTATTGAGTGTATGTCCCAACA